TGCGTTATCCAGATTGTTGACCACTAACTCCTACTTGCCAGACAAGAGCGTGGTGGTGGAAAGTATGGTTAGCAAGATACAATTGATTGTCAAGGAGGAAGACGCTGTTGGCGAAGGTTCAACTTTCAAAGAATGTTTTAAAGGAACGAACCTAAGAAGAACGAGGATTGCTGCATTTACTTGGTTATTCCAAAACATCACTGGTGCTACTTTGATGGGTTACTCAACTTACTTTTATGAGCAAGCTGGTTTAGCTGCTTCAAACGCATTCACTTTTTCTATCATTCAATACTGCTTAGGTCTTATTGGCACACTTGTCTCTTGGACCTTATCACAGAAGCTTGGAAGTTTTACGATATATTTTGGTGGTTTGTGCACAATGAGCGCACTTCTTCTAATCACTGGTGGATTGGGTTGCTCATCATCTTCTGGAGCTAGCTGGGGTGCAGGGTCTATGTTGTTGATCTATACTTTTGTCTATGATTCTACTGTTGGACCTATGACCTATTGTATTATTCCAGAGACACCTTCAGCCCAGTTGAGACAAAAGACAGTCATGTTGTCAAGATTTGTTTATAATGTGTCGGGTATTGTCGTGAACATTCTCACCAACTACATGTTGAATCCATCTTCGTGGGGATGGGGTGCCAAGAGTGGATTCCTCTGGGCAGGATTCGCTATTTGTGCCGCAATCTGGACCTGGTTTGAAATGCCAGAAACCAAAGGCAGAACATTTGCTGAATTGGACAAGTTGTTTGAGCAAAAGGTGCCAGCCAGGAAGTTCAAGCATACGATTCCCAAAACTTTTGATGCTGGTGAAATGATGGAAAAATTGGGTGATCACGGAATCAAGAATATTGTCAATGAAAGAGAGCATCGGGAATATGCTGATGATGAATCATTGTGAGTAAAAGTAATACAATTCAGTATTCATTTAGTCTTCAATTCTTCAAAGTTTATACTAAAATACAAATTTCGTTTGCATTATATTATGGTAAGTTGTTTTCTAACGGTTGTAGATCAGATTATGGGAAGTTTCTAAGTAGTCCTGAACTCTTCCAACCAATTTAGAGAAGCTCTTTATCTCTTTCTTGCCACTATAGCAACGACTTCCCTGAGGAAATTTTCATGTTGAGCATGGTATGGCGGCATTTGAAGCCAACATTCTCCCCACATAAATGTTTGAAAATCCGGAATTTGGGGAATTTTTACCACCTCAAACATGTTGACTAATAATAAATATATTTGTAACCTACTCTTCAACACTTGGCTTCATTGGGTTTAACAAATCCCAACAATTCTTCGCAACAATTACAAAACCTGACAACACTCCTACGAAAGTGAAGACTTGTTAAGTAGAGGGGAAAGCTTCTACGTCTTGTTCCAGAACCTCATTTTAGGGTTAGTATTATCTCAAGTCTACGTTTTTCTGAGCATATCAGCTTGTCTTACTGTAAGCGCTTTGTTAATTACACTAACCTAGTACCAATGGGTATTGCATTAATCTATAAAATCTCAATTATTTAAACTGTACCTAATCAACAATGTAAACACGTCCTTCGTAGGGGGACAATGAATCCTCAACAAGATCAGCTTTGTCGACATTGGTGCTGACCAACTTGAAGTCGCCATCAATCAACTTGCTAAACTTGGCCGAATCTTTAGAAAAGTTGAGGACTACATAAGCCTTTGGATAGTCAGTGTTTGGCAAACTCTTGACATAGGTAAACACTTGCTCGTTGTCAAAGTCCAAAATCTTGAACGATCCGTAAATCAAGAGATCCTTGTGCTCCTTTCTCAACTTTAATGACTTCTTCCAAAAGTTTAAGAGCGAGTTTGGATCGTCAATCTGCTTGGCAACATTGACCTCCTTGTAATTAGAATTGACTCTTGTCCATGGTTCGTATTCTGAGAATCCGGCATATTTCGTGTCGTCCCATTGCATTGGCGATCTTGCATTGTCTCTGGCCAACAAGTTGATGACATCCATAAGCTTCTTTTCCTTCTCCGCGAAATCGGCATCTGATCCGTACTTTTCCTTGAAGGCTTTGTAGTAGTTGATTGTGTTGATGTCTTTGTAATCTTCGATTGGCCATTCTCTTGGCAAGTTGGTCATACCAATCTCCTGGCCTTGGTAGATGAACAAAGTACCGGTCAAGGTGGTTTGCAAAAGAGCCAACAACTTTCCGCTCTTTGTTTCGTACTTTTTGTCACCAAACCGGGTGATGCTTCTTGGTTGGTCATGGTTCTCGATGAAAACAGTTGACCACGCGTCTGTTCCATTGGTGAAGTCACATTGTTCTTGAACTGCGTTCTTGAAATCCTTCAAATCAAACCCGTAGTATCTAAACCTGTCGCCTTTGTCCGATCCGATGTCAACAACGTCAAACAAAAACATCATATTCATTTCCTTTTCGGAGGCGCTGACATACTTCAATGCTTCCTCTCTAGAACAGTGGCCAACCTCACCAACAGTCATTGCGTCGTAATGTGAAGTGACCTTCTTGAACATCTCCTTGTGGAACTCGTGGATTCTTGGCCCGTTGGTAGTGTACTCGGCACTTGGCTGGTAGTATTGGTCTTTGTAAACAACCGGCGCATCAAGGAATCTTTGGTCTTTGGAATACATACCAGCTGTATCAATTCTAAACCCATCAATACCACGGTCGAACCAGAATTTTAATGCACTGTCGTAAATTGCGTTTCTGGTCTCTTCATTTTCCCAGTTCAAGTCTGGCTGAGTGCTGGCAAACAATCTCAAGTAGTACTCATCGGTAGCTTCATCGTATTCCCAAGCAGACCCAGAAAAGTGCGACAACCAGTTGTTTGGTGGCAATCTGTTTCCCTTGTCGTCGTATCTTGGTTTCTTCCAGATGTACCAGTCTCTCTTGGGGTTGTCCAATGACGATCTAGACTCTTTGAACCACTTGTGCTCGGACGAAGTGTGGTTGATCACCAAGTCGGCAATAATTTTGATACCGCGCTCGTGACAGCCGTCAATCAACTGTTGCATATCTTCCATAGTACCGTACCTGTGGTAGATGTTTTGGTAGTCGCTGATATCGTACCCCATATCGTCTTGTGGCGAGTCGTATTGGGGACTGAGCCAAATCACATCAACAAAGTCTTTCAAGTAGTCCAACTTGGAAATGATACCTGGAATGTCACCACAAGCTCCGTCAAATGTTTTGTCACCTCCGGTATATTTCTCCTTCAATCCATTAGCAAACGTTGCTGGATAAACTTGGTAAATTGTGGCGTCCTTCCACCAGGTATAGTCGATAGTCATGGTAATATTAGTTGTGTCTTGTAGTGTTCTCAACTCGATGCAGAAAAAATTGCCAGACTGAAGTTATCCTTGAATGGTGAATCTGTTTTATAATGTTACTCGACGCTGGGTGACTGAAATACAACCACGTAGTAGCACTTTCTAACATCTATGCGCTCTGCATTTCCCTATACTTTTGCTGAGGGGCACATTTAGAGTTTG